TGAAATAAAAATAACCGCACGCTTGTTTATTATACAACAGAAATCGAAATCAAATTTCACAGAGAGAAGAGAGGAAAAAAATAATTTGTATCAAAAGTCTATAATATTTAGGTTCTGCATACTCAAAAAAATATTTCACTGATGTAGTTAGATTTCTAGATATCGCAACAAGAATGTATCGTCTATTTTTCGTATCTGTGAAAACAATTGTTTGTCACATATAGAATTTATAGCAGTAATGTTCTAGCAATAGCTTCTGAAAAATTTAGGTACCATTGCTAAATGTTATTCATTGCATGATCTAACACGTGATTGATCTTATATAGATAGGCGCTTTAGAGAAACTTTCTTTTTAAAGTTCACAAACAATACAGATATATATTCTGTTCCTGTCATCTAAACTGATTAAGTAATTACATATGCAATATCACAACAGTTGCTAATCATTTATCTGTTTTAGTTAATTTTTTACACCTAGAAAATTTTAGCTATTATTGCAAGATCATTTTTTTTGAGTGTTGATAAGAAGAGAAATTCACACGAGTCGAATTTTTAACTGTTTCCTTTTCTGTTTTATATGTTTTTTTTTTTTATATAAATAAGTTTTCACGAATTAATACTCGACAATGTGCGAGCGTAACAGTCGCCTCGAGGGAGCACAATAAAGATTATTTGCATATTAAAAGCGAAGAAGTGTAACAAAGTGCGAGGGCGCTCGAAGCACTCTTGTGATGTGACGTTGCGTTTTGTATTTCTAGTCTCCGATCGTTTCACAAGAATTTCTAGAAACGCAGAAACGATGAATCACAGCAAACGTCTCCTTCGCAATGCTGTCGCGATGATGATAGCGTTACTCCAGATCGTTAATCACGATTGCGCTCGCGATGCGCACGACGATCACGGCGATGCGGAATAACTTCCGAGCAACAATGCAACATTTTATTCCTGGTATAATCAACACGCACTAAAAAACTATCAGAGCACACGCGGTACGCTACGATACGAGTTATCATGCGAAGATAAGACTTAATTATTACGATTAACACGTTCATTGTTCGTGAGTCACGTGTGCGCTGCACGGACAATGAACACGTTAGCATTTTTCTGTACGTCATCAACAATGTTGTTACTTAGTTAATAACATCGAGGCGAATGCGATCAAGACTCAAAAAAAAAAAAAAAAAAAAATTATAAAGATTAAGTAAAAAAAAATATTATTCAGAGAATATTATTAATTTGATTTCTTTTGATCGAACGATTTAAATCGCCAGCTACTGCAAAGAATATTATAAAAATCGCAATCGAAGGAATAATCATAAATGCAAAAATTTACTAGACCTTTGCGCACAAGTTGAACGCAGTGAATTAAGAAACTTTATTATTAACGACTTGCTTGGGATTTTTTCGGCGACATCGGCAATTTTCAGGCGGGATGAAAGAGATAATTCGGCGACAGGTAGAAACGGGGTTTCGGCAGGCTTAATTATACACTCGCAGGCACACAGAAGTGCAACTCGGTTGAGGATTTATCTCCGTTTTACATTCAGATGTCGACGCAGCGAAGGCCTCTCTGGAGAACGTGCCGGCGAACTTGTATGAAAGCGTATGCGTGCCAGATTTAGGTGATTTTTTGGGATACCAGAGTGGTGGCGGTGGCGGCGGCGGCGGCGGCGGTGGCGGCGGAGGCGGCCATCAGGTGGCAACGCCAGAGCATAAAAACCCGTCGACGCCCGCCAGCTCTACAACCTCCAACTCCTCCGGTCCTCCTCAGAGCGGTACGCAACAACAACCCCCGATACAACCCTCTTCGGGCGCGGTGTCCCTGCCATCGAGACAGTATCATAACGATGGTAAGTCCACTTTTACTAATTCCGTCGCCTTCCTCCGTTCTCGGGCGCGGGAATCCCGCAGGCAATTGACAACATTTCTTTTTCCGCGTCGAACGATGATTTTTCAGGCTTTTGAATCTAATTTGTCAAAATCTTTAGCATCACGAGTGGACAATATTTTCCTGCATTGAAAAATATCGAAATTATTATTATTCTCTGAAAAATACGAGATGAAAGATTTATATTGCGCAATAATTATGTAGAAAATTGATTTAAAAAATTGAGCAAGAGCGAAAAGAGGTTGGTTCGTAAAATAAGTGCGTAAAAAAATGCCATTTTATCGTCAACGAGAGCGGCAGACAATTGCAGCGAGCCTTGCTTCCCACCCCGCGGCTCTTTCCCTCTCGATACCGATAGCCGCCCGGCGCGCATATGCAGGGAACTGCTAAATTACGCGACGAGCCGGCTTTATTTATTTCCCCGATTGCAAGTGCAAACGAAAGCGTGGAGGAGTTTCTCATTGTTACGTCAGGGTGGCTGATAGCATCTCTCAGGTTGGCGCGTTTGCACGTGTTGCAAACGCAAACCCCTCATTATCGTCACCGTTCGTTTCTCATTTAACGTTTCTTCGTCATCGTGCGCCGCGGGTGCCGCGTCAGCGACAAGTCGCGCGATTTCACCGGCACGCATACGCGTCGATCTAGAAATCGAATTGTCAAATGTCTGGCCTCTCTCAGGGCGCGCGGATTGCGGCACAGCTCGTTACGGCGCGCGCGACGAGCGAGAAGGTGAGCCGATTTCGCAGTCGGGGAAAAACTTCGGCTTGCCGTTCGAACGCGACATATTCCGCACTTTTCCTTCGCTCGCTTAGACGTGCGGAATAAATTGCGGAAATATTGTTGAACCTGAAAACTCTCTTGAAATCGCGGAGAATGACGCATAATGAGTCTGAATAGCGAACGAACCGGCCGTCCCACAATCGTGTATGATAGTTTCAAGATAACATCTGCGATGATGTAAGCTATCCGCAACGCATTCAAGCTCATTTTTTTTTTTCTATATTTGCGGAATAGCCCGTGGAATAATTCCCTCGCCGGCGCTATTCTATTCATTGAGAAGTTTTGTACAATCTCTTGAATCGCACACACGACTTCTCTATTGCGATTCACGAAATGAGGAAAGATCACGCGGAGATAGCGTGTTAAGTTTTGCAAAGTGCGTCTCCTCGAGCTTCGACTCGATAAAGCGCCGGCAAAACGCTCGTTGCGCAATAATCTCGTTATTACACAGCGCATTATGCAAACGGTTAATTTCACTAATATATGCTCGAACTAAGAATCGTATTGTTCGCCGGTCACGAAACGGAGTTTTAATTTCTTTACGACGGGATGAGCGGGCTACCGAGTGAAAATATCAACGCCAACGCTGGCGCAATCGACGTAGAAAATTTCCCTGTTGCGTCTTTCGTGACGTCGAGAATTTTTGCACAAGCGCGCATATGACTTGGCGTATCACTGACCCAATTTTTCTGCAATCATTAATGTTTGATCATTTATCTGGCTTTGACCGAGTTACTTTCGCCAGTGTTTATCTATCGTAAAATCGCCGACATGACGAATCAACTCTCCCCAAGTGCGCTTTTGCACAATCTATTAACGTATTACTGTGGAAAAAAGATCGAAATCATTCTTTTTGTATTTTAATTCCTTCCATCCATTATTAATAAGGCTAACAGCTTTATCGTCGGAAAATCTATTTTTATAATGATATCGCGATCTTGATGAAAAAAATTTTGCAATTTAAAATAATTCAAGTTGCAAAAAAAACATGAAGAAATTTTAAAACACATCTTTTACATAATCCGTATTTTAATTTTGTTTTATTCGTCCAGAGACTTAAAATCCTCCCGACGAGAAAAATGAGACACACGTTGGCAATTTTGAATTGTTAACGAAGCACTTCTGATTTCGCAAGCAATTGACCAACGAGCAAAAAAGTTGAGGCATTAGAGAGTCGATTTGCAACTGCGGCGGTTGAAACTTGCAATTTTGCTCGCGCGGGCATGCTATGCGCGTTCTTTTATCAATGGGAGATAATCCGGGCGACGTCGTTCCGTAATCCGTGCACTATATGTGCACGCATACGCCGTGCAATCGGGTGCGTTGATGTCAGACTGGAGGCACGCGCAATACGAACGTACGGACGGAATGGAGTAGAATAGAATGGCGCGGCGCGGAGAGCGGCGGAGAGCATTATGAAGCGAGTCTTCGTACATAGTCGCATAGGTAACAATTACCTTAGCGAGGGGCCTTACGTCACTGCAGCAGTGACCGTGGGTGAACGAGGGAAAGTCGGGCCCTCTACACGCTCCGCCGCGGACAATAGAGACGATTCGCCCGCACCAACGCCGGCTGTGTCCACTCACACAGCGTATGCACGCGCATGTGCACACAGGTGCGTACATGTGTACGCGCGCTAATGAATGCGCTCGCGTATCCCCTCCGATTTCAATCGTTCTCGTCTCTACGTGGAAAATGGAATGAAATCAGTACGGTATTAGAATTAATTAGCCCCGGCAGGTTCTCACGAAAATTCTTTGAACGACTGTTAAGTTGCCAGATTTTGTGCGGAGTAATTTTTTATACTCGTTCGTCAACTGCGCATCTTGGTGAAATTTCTGTCAAAATAGTTGCTGCAAAAATAAATTGTTAACGCTTTTCGTAACATAAATGTGTAAAATGGATTTTATGGCAGACGAAAATTAAAATATCTGAAGGGGGAAAAATAATTGTAACAAAGTGTCGTGTGAAATGTCGAAGGCGGAATTTTTTAGACTAAAAAGTTCGACAATCGCTGACTAATGTTCGTTCGTGAAATGTTCCGAAGTTCTCCGAAGACTTGGCTGCTATGTACACGTTTTACGGACGCGTCGTTACAAAGCGACTAACACAGACGGACGTCCGTATAATAGACTCATTATTTCTGCTTGCTAAAGCACTGTTACGTTATGTATCACAGCTCTTCGAGGTCTCTGGTTCGACTCTCGCTTATACTCCTCGCTTTCGATCTCCTCGTGTCGGAACCGATGTATCGCGCTCTTATTTAGCATCGAATTCTTCAATTTTATTATTAAAGAAACAGATGAGCTCTCTGAAGTTCTTTAACGATATTATTATATTTAGCCTCGTTTATTATTTCGATGACTTTGCATCAAGTTCGCATTAATCAAAACTTTAATTTTGAATTCATAAATAAAATTATTTGAAAATATTTTTATATTTTGTATAAATAATTATATAAATTATTGAAAAGTTTATACTTTTCTTTCGCGACAGTAATTTAAATTTTACGATAACAGCTAGATTAATATTTCAAATTTAATAACGCTATCACAAAATTCGGTCGTGATTCTTCAATCGCAAACATCGAAGTACAGATAATAAGATTTTTTTTCAATTCTCTTCGGCATAATTTCGAAGATATCCGATAGCAGCGCGTGCTGTCCATGAAGACAAGCGCGGAGCTTGTCGCGCGTATTCATTGCTTCGCGTCACGTATGACGCGCACGTGCACGGATCCACAAACATGCGTCGCGCAAGCGCCTATGTGCGCGTGCATATTATGCATAAATTAAGCGATAGCAGCGCTGTAGAGCCGAGACGGGCGGCGAGAGACCGAGAGACGGGGTTCGAATCCCCGCGCGCAAAAGCGACGCCCCGGTGCGGTTTGCTGACCACACGCGGCCAAAAAAGGAGAGCGATTCGTGACGTCCATTGACAGCGCGTATGGGAAAGGAAAAGGTTGGTCAATCGGCGCCGGCGAATACAATGATTATTTGTTAAGCAACCCTCGCGTTATAACTAACGACGAGGAATATGCGGCATTCTGATCGCTCTCGTCTCCCTCCTTCTCTCTCTCTCTCTCCGCCGTGCGTCTTCTTCATCGTACTAA